CCCCCCCCCCAATTGTCCTATAGGGCACCCCATAGATTCCCCTTCCCATCACCCTATAGGGCACCCCATAGATTCCCCTTCCCATAATCCGTTGGGGCACACCATAGATTCCCCCCCCCCCCCATTGTCCTATAGGGCACCCCATAGATTTCCCTTCCCATCACCCTATAGGGCACCCCATAGATTCCCTCTCCCCCTCCCCCCCCATCAGCCTATAGGGCTCCCCATAGATTTGACCCACATCTTCCCATCACCCTATAGGGCACCTCATAGATTTCCTCTCCCTTCCATCACCCTATAGGGCTCCCCATAGATTCCCCCCCTCCCCATAATCCTTTGGGGCACCCCATAGATTCACTTCCCCTTCCCATCATCCTATGGGGCACCCCATAGATTCTCTTTCCCTTCCCATCATCCTCTGGGGCACCCCATAGATTCCCTTCCCACAATGCCCCACGGCAGCCTCCCATCCTCCCCATCATGCACCGGGGCAGCGCCATTTCCCAGCATGCCCCGCGCCCCCCCGTTTATTTCTCAGCTTGCCCCCCCACCCCCCTTTTAGGCTTCAAGTCTCGGGGTAGGCCTCACTCCCCGGTACCGGTTGTTGCCCCCACGGCGCCCGGTGGGCTGAAGGTGTTGATCCACCACGGTGAAACGCTCTCCTAGCACAGCTGTGACGTCGAATGGGAACTCCATGGCTTCGCAACCGGGCCTGGGCCTGGTCCCGGTGCCGGTACCGTTGTCGCCGTCGTCGCCAGGCCCAGGCCCAGGCCCGGGCCCGACCCTTAGCAACCGCCCATAGCAACAAGCCCCGCCCCTAATCCCACAGAGCCAATCACGTTCGGGCAACAAGCCACGCCCCTTGACAACCCGCCGCATCAATCCCCGCCCATTAGCAACCAGGCAGCAGCGCGGTGCATGCTGGGATATACACCCCTCCATACATCCCTCATGGGGGCGGCCATTTTGTGGGCGTTGCCGCCATCTTGAGGGTGTCGCCGCCATTTTTCCCCGTCTCGCCCCGCTTTTCCTCATTTTGCCCCGATTTTGTCCTAATTTTGCCCCATTTCTCCCCGAATTGCCTCAAATTTTCCCTATTTTTCCAATTCCTCCCAGTTTTTCCCCATTTTGCCCCAGTTTCCCTCATTTGCTCCCAATTTTTCCTCATTTTTCCCACTTTTCCCCTCGTTACCCCATATTTTCCCATTTTTTCCCCAATTTACCCAAATTTTCCCTATTTTGCCCCAATTCTCTCCCTTTTCCCCCAATTTAAACCATTTTGTCCCAATTTTGCCCATTAATCTCAATCACCCCAATTTTTGCCTCTTCTCCCGATTCATCCCCATTTTGCCCCCATTTTTTCCCATTTCCCCCTCCTCGCTCCAATTTTCCCCATTTTTCCCCCAGTTTACCCCCAATCTTTGGCCATTTTTCCCCAATGCTTCACCATTTCCTCATTTTACCCCAATTTTTCCACAATTTCCTGGGCCCCGCTGCCATTTGTATTTCCTGCCGCCATTTTGAGGGCACCGCCGCCATTTTTTTTTTTTTTTTTTTGCCGTTCCCGCCATTTTGTGGGCGTGGCCACCATTTTGCTGCCATTTCCCGCCATTCTGTGGGCGTGGCCGCCACCTTCAAGGCACCGCCGCCATTTTTTTTTCCCATTCCCGCCTTTCTGTGGGCGTTGCCGCCATTTTGAGGCCACCGCCGCCATTCTTTTTTGCCATTCCCACTATTCTGTGGGCGTGGTCGCCATTTTCTTTTTTGCCGTTCCCGCCACTTTGTGGGTGTGGCCGCCATTTTGAAGGCACCGCCGCCATTTTTTCCCCCCATTCCCGCCATGTTGTGGGCGTGGCCGCCATTTTGTGTGCACCGCCGCCATCTTGAGGGCCTGGAAAAAACACCCTTGCAAGCCGCACAAACCTCTTTATTCCCCTTCTCACACCTCCGTCCCACCTTTTTGCGCCTCTACTCCTCCCTTCTGCCCTTCCACCCCCATTTCAGACCCCGCTTTCTGCCCCTCGCCCTGGGCCACAGCCGCTTCCCCCCCCCCCTCCTCCTCCTTGAGGTAATCCTTATAGATGCGCCTGAGGCGAGCGACAGCGGCTGCAGGCGGCTGCTGCCATTCGTACCACGGGTACCACGCGCTGCCTTCCCTCAGCTGTGGGCCCGGAGGAGTCTTTCCGATGGCCGAATGCAGCGTGAGGTAATCGTCTGACGGCACAGGAACGAAGGGCACCCGCAGCCATAGCAGCCCTGAGGAATGGAGGTGATGAAGGCAAGATGGCGGCCAGCGAGCCACAGTGTGTATCATTAAGGGATGGCTTAACCCCAGTACAAACCATTATAGGACAGCTTAACCCCAGTATGAACCATTAAGGGACAGCTTAACCCCAGTATGAACCATTATAGGACAGCTTAACCCCAGTATGAACCATTAAGGGACAGCTTAACTCCAGTATGAACCATTAAGGGACAGCTTAACCCCAATATGAACCATTAAGGGACAGCTTAACTCCAGTATGAACCATTAAGGGACAGCTTAACCCCAATATGAACCATTATAGGACAGCTTACCCCCTGATTTATACCGTTGAAGTACGAATTACCATCGAGCTCCCTATTAATTACTCATCGTTAGTGTCTCCGTGTTAATTACCCCACGTATAATTGATGAATGTGCCCCCCCTCCTTCCCCCAATTGGGCTCACCGTGGTCCTGTGCCTCAGCGATGGCCTTCAGCAGCAGCTTGTGTTGTTTCATGCAGACACCTGGGGGGGGAAGGGAACGTTTGGTGGCCCTATAGGGAGGTTTGGTGGCCACTGTGGTGTCCTATGGGGTTTGGTGGCCCTACAGGGCAGTTTGGTGGCCACTACGGTGTCCTTGTGGGGTCTGGTGGCCTTACAGGGGGGTTTGGTGACCCTAAAGGTTCTCTGGTGGCCATTATAATGTCCTTAGGGGGTTTGGTGGCCCTACAGGGGAGTTTGGTGGCCCCAAAGGAGCTCTGGTGACCATTATGGTGTCCTTATAGGGTTTGATGGCCACTGTGGTGTCCTATGGGGTTTGGTGGCCCTACAGAGGGGTTTTGGTGGCCACTGTGGTGTCCTTAGGGGGTTTGGTGGCTCTACAGGAGGGGTTTGTGGCCCCAAACCATTTCTGGTGGCCACTGTGGTGTCCTTATGGGGTTTGGTGGCCCTACAGGGGGGTTTGGTGGCCCTAAAGGGGAGTTTTGGTGGCCACTGGGGTGTCCTTATGGGGTTTGGTGGCCCTACAGAGGGGTTTGGTGACCCTGAAGGTTCTCCGGTTGCCATTATAATGTCCTTATGGGGTTTGGTGGCCCTACAACGGGGTTTGATGGCCCCAAAGGAGCTCTGGTGATTATTATGGTGTCCTTATAGAGTTTGATGGCCACTGTGGTGTCCTAAGGGGTTTGGTGGCCCTACAGGGGGGTTTGGTGGCCCTAAAGGATCTCTGGTGCCCATTATGGTGTCCTAAGGGGTTTGGTGGCCCTACAGGGGGTTTTGGTGGCCCTACAGGATCTCTGGTGCCCATTGCGGTGTCCTTATGGGGTTTGGTGGCCCTACAGGGGGTTTTGGGGCCACCCCGCTGTCCCCAGACGCAGCTCTGGCAGCCATCGCAGCCTCTTTCTCTCGTCCCCTCACCTGTGTGCGTGGGATGGAAGATGGAGCCGGAATGGGGGCACACAAACTGCTCCAGCAGCTTCACGTTCTGCCCCGAGGAACGGGAAGACGAGGAGGAAGAAGACAACAAAGATGAGGAGGCCGGATTTCCTCTTTTTTCACCCCGTTTTTGTGCCCCCCGCCTCCCCCCAGCTCTGCTCACCCTGAAGTCCACATGCAGGTTGCGGTCGCGGCAGATGGGGCACGGGTTCCCCACGCGCTTCCCCTTACGCTATGGGGGGGGG